GGGGGGGAGAGAGGGAGAAACACTATCATTACTTCTATTGAAGCTGTAAATCAGGAAGTAAAGGACTTGGAAATGGTGAATGATTCTTAGAAATAAACTTCTGATAAAGTTGATGTCACCAGGATCGTGAGGTTTTCTTTTTAGTATATATTTTTTTTCACTCACGTGGCTGTGGGGGGGGGGGGGGGGGGGGGGCACCACGCGTGGGACACATGGGGGCACGGCCGTGCTCGCCCCAGTGAGGTGACTCACAGCTCCGGCAGCACTTTCACCCCCCACCAACCCCCCCTCCCCAGACGGTGTTTCCCCGTGAGGCATCCAGGGGAAATTAAAACAGAAAGAAACCGTAAAGAAATTTAATATATGTATATATATTTTTTTCTTCCCCCCCTATTTTTCACTGGGGGGAGGTGGGCAGGGGACCCCTGGATGTGGCTGTGTCAGGGGGTGGTTGTGCCCCCCAGCATCCCTGCCACTCTCTTTTGGGGGAGCAGCCACCAGCACAGCAGCTCATCTGTGTCCCTGTGCCACTCATGCCCATGTGCCATCCAAGCCCCTGTGCCACATATCTGAATGCCACCCATGTCCATGTGTCATATGTCCAAGTGCCACCCGTGTTGGTGTGAAACCAGCAGGGACACCCCATCCCTCTCCCCATTCTGGGCTGGCAGCAGGTTGAAGCACTACCATTTCTCTCCCTCTCTGCTCTCTATATTGTTCCTCCTGAAACATTTGATCAGGTTTAGTGAGTCTGTGCCCTGCTTGCATCCCACCAGGGGACAGTTGAGGAGCGGTGACGCCAAGAGGGGGGACGTGGGGACAGTGCAGTTGGGTGGGACACTCTGCAGTGCCACCCAGTGTGTCCATCTGTCCCCTAGCTGAGCTGTCCCCAGGGTGCTGCTGTGTGTGGTGACACCTGGCACTACCGTGGGACTGGGGCTGCTGTCACTGCCATTTGGTGACACAGTTTCCCCAGGGGTAAAGTGGGGAATAGGGACAAGTGCCACACTGGTGGAATCCCATCTGAGCCCAGTTTGGGGTTATTTGGAGAGGATGAAGAGATGCCAGTGGGATGGGGATAACGGGAGCTGTGCGGGGTGGGGAGGGAGGCTCATGTGCACAACCTCACGTATAAATTCATACCTAATTGTCGGGGTCACTTAATTACCTGGGAAACGAGTGTTTCTCCATCACCAGCTCAGGGGCAGCCCGGGGGTGGGGGTGTCGCAAGCCCCACTGCGGCCACTTCCTGCCAATTCCCCGCGTTTCTCTGCAGGATGCGGCACTGGAGCTGATTCACCTGCAGCCAGGTCCAGCCCCGCTGCCTGCGAGCCCCCACAGCCCCCACTCCTGAATCAGCCCTGTGTTCCACGGCCAAAAAATAAGGAAATCGGGGAAATGACCCGCGTGCAAAATTGGGACATGTCTGGGAGCGGGGAGCCAGGCTGAAATCTTTGCTCACGTACGATATGTTATACAGCTTACCCCGTAGGTTATCCCGTAGGAAACCAACCCTACACGGGACTGATTGCCAGTGACGTCCAGGGGATGTCACTTCCCCAGGAGTTTATTTAGCAGCGGTGGCCCCGACGGCCCCTGTATGGAGGGGATGATGGGATCGGGGGTCTCGGCAGACGCCCACCTGCCCCGGGGATGATGCACTCGGAAAAAGCCCAAAAGAGGGAATAGGAACGGGCTCGGTGCAGGCGGTGACACAACGCTATCGGCATCCCGGCAGCGGCCGGCCGGCCCCGCTCCCACGCTCCGGATGGGTTTTTTGGGGCGGTTTGGCCCCTAAATGAGTCTGGATGCTGCGGGGCTGCGGGATGCGGAGCGGGGCTGGGGGAACCCACGTGTAGGGCCGCGGCCCCAAATGGGGCTGTTTGGGGTTGGGTTTGGCAGGAGAGCCGCGGGCTGCTCTGCCCTGCTGAACACTGCTCTCTGCCGTCCGCGGCTGTCACCGCCACGGGGACATGGGGACATGGGGGGACATGGGGACATGAGCAGCCCCTTCTCACCCATTTCTACCCAATCCTTATCTGTAACAGCCCTCCATCCCCATCCCATCCCGTCCCCATCCCACCCAAGCCATGGGGTCCGTAACCCCCTGTCCCACACTGTCCCCAGCAGGAGACACACAGCCACCAGCAGCCCCCCATGTCCAGCCAGTGCAGGGTGCTGCTGTGAGTAAGGTGGCTGCTCCATGCTGGGGAAGCCCGGGCTGAATAACGGCAGGGGACAAATTCCCCCTTGACTCATGGGGTGATTTTTGCACGTCCAAATCCCTGCATCCCACCAGTGTCACCCTATGAGTGCCATCTCACAAGTGCCATCCTGTTGGCATCACCCCACAGCCAGGCACCCAGCAGGCTGATGGCTCCCTTGGCCTTGGGGACACCTCGGGGGGCAGGAAGCAAAGCACGTCTCCACTGCAGGGCGTCCTCCCCAAGCCCCACGCAGGGACAGCCTGGACCTGCATGGCACTGAAGGGGTGGGGATGCTGGGGACACTGGGGCTGGTGGCATGCCACCATCCCATGCATTGCCCCATTTTCAGCCCCAGGGGTACGAGCATTTGCAGATCCTTAATTTCTGCTTGAAGCCCATTCCCAAGTTTTGTCCCTAATTTCCAGAATCCTGGGGCCAGATCCTGCTCTCCTGAGCACAGAGGGGCTCCCTCTTCCCCTTCCCTACTCGGGACCCCCAGGTGTCCCCGGTTTCAGGGAGGGGCTGTCACCCACCTGTGCCCTCAGAGCCCCTCCAAGCTGCCTCCTCCTGGGGCGGCTCAGCAGGGTATGGCAGCTGGCAGGAGGTGACACGTTGGGCCAGCTCAGGCTGCTTCATGGTGACATCGTTCCTGAAGGGTCCCCAAACGGTGGCAGTGGCCGTCCCAGTGGCGATGCTGCCTGCAACTGAGTCAGTGCCGCCGGCACAGCCGAGCACACGGCGAGGAACGAGTGACTCCGTGGTGCCACATGACCAGGTCTTAGGATATTTGACTCAGCAGGGACAGTGCTTGGTGGCAGCGAGCCCCCAGCGTGTCCCCAGGCTGCTATGGGGCTGTGTGGCACAGTGACGTTTGGCGTGGTGCTGTGTGACAAGTGGTGCTCAGCGAAGGGCCGGGTGCAGTGCCAGGGCCAGGCAGTGTTGCCACACACAGATCTGTGCTGTGTGTCACATCCATCGTGTGCCATGTGCCACGTGAAATGTACCGTATGTCCCTTCCCATGTGCCATGCGCCACGTCCACCGTGTGCCACGTGCCATGTGCCATGTGCCATGTGAAATGTGCCATATGTCCCTTCCCATGTGCCATGTGCCACGTCCACTGTGTGCCACGTGCCACATCCCATTGCCATGTGCCATATTCATCATGTGCCTGATGTCACATCCCATCACGTTCCTGTTGCCATGTCGCATCTCATACCTTGTCATGGCCCACGGATGCCTCATGCCACACCATAGTGTGCCCCTTCCCACTCTGTGCCAATGCCACGTGTCACCCCACGCCGTCTGCCACATCCCACACTGTGCCATGTGCCACATCTCACAGCGTGTTACCATGGCCCACCGTGTCCTCCTCCCAGCCTATGCCACTCTGTGCAACACCCCACCCCACGCTGTGCCATGTGCCACCTGATGCTGCCATCCCATGCCATCCCAAGGGCCACACTGCTGTGCCACATCCCGAGCTGCACACTGCACAGCACATCCCACTCCTTAACACCTGCCATGCTGCGCTGTGCCATGTCCCACACGGTGTCCTTTGTCCCCCCCCACGCTGTCCCATGCTGTGCTCACTCTGTGTCCTTCCATCCTTCTCCTCCTGACCTCATTTTCCTTTCAGGTTATTGCTAATCAGTTCCCAAATTCGTTTAGTTTTCACTGCCTCGTCTGTCCCACCTCCAAGCGTGGGTGGATTCCTGGTAGCACCAGGCCCCAAAAAGCCCCCAGGTAATCACAGAATGAGTTGGGGTTTTGCCTGAGCCCCATGGACACTCGGACACACATGGACAGAGGCATCAGCCCACAGGCCGAGGTCAAGACTTTATTTCCATCTGCTGCCATAGAAAAATAAAGGGTTGGTCCCTTCTTCCAGTACAAAATAATATTTGCATTCATAAATAAAATATCATCACATTTATACTTTAACACAATACAATAAAAAAAAAAATTAACAAAAATAGATATCCATTTATATATTAAAAGTGTAAACTTAAATATTCATCCCCAGGGCGGGGATGCGTTAAATTAATTTGATGGCTTCAATAAATACAGGAACCACTGTCATGTATAAGTTATGGGGGGGTCGGTGCCCACTGCCAGAGCACGGGGCTGTGCCCAACACCTGGGGGCACCCCAAGGGTGTGGGGTGATGACGGGATGGGGTGGGAATGGGGATGATGGGGACAGAGAGTGAGGAGGGGTGAGGAGGAAAGCACAGAGGTGAGCTCAGTGTGCTCATGAGGATGCTGAAAGGGGACACCGTGCCCTCGAGTGGG